TTCGATGTCAACCTCTGTAACAGCAGCCAGTGGTACAGAGGAGCCGTCCACACCCACAACCTGTGTGCTGGCTACCCGCAGGGCGGCATTGACACCTGCCAGGTAGGCTCACCTCCCCTTCCCTCTCTGCAGGTTCTCGCCCAGTGCCCCATCTGTCTCAGAGGCCGGGGACTCTGCCCAGAAAGCCCATCCGGTGCTGCTGGCAGCCCGTAGGCCCAGATCCCAATCCTGGAACATCCCCCTTCCACACATCCAGCATCACAGTGCAGAGAGGAGAGAGAGCACACCCTGCCTTACAGGCCTGTGGCTTCTTCCTAGAAAAGTTTCTGTAGGCTCCAGCAGCTGCAGAGCCTTTCTGTGCAGTGAATACAGCGCTGGCAGGTGCTGTGGGAGAGAAGCAGCCAGCCCTAGTGCTGACAGTGGCCACCTAACACCCCCTTCATCCTCTCTCCTCCGCTGCAGGGTGACAGCGGTGGTCCTCTCGTCTGCAAAGATAAAAATGCTGACTACTTCTGGCTTGTTGGAGTGACCAGCTGGGGGAAAGGCTGTGCGAGAGCAAAACGGCCTGGAATCTACACCTCCACTCAGCACTTCTACGACTGGATCCTGACACAGATGGGATTTCGCTCAGCACCAAGGGCTTCTCCAACATCAGGGGCATGGAGTCATTTTCTCACTGCCTCAACCCCTTATCAGAGGCCAACACCAACACAATCGGGCAAGTTTAGCTCCTGCCCCTTTCCCCTTGGGAAGCTGGTGGAATTCTTTTCTCGGGCGCAGGAGCTCCTGCTGTTCCTAAAGGAAAAAAAGGCTTGAGCAACAGGATGAAGAGGATCCAGTGCAGGCTTGCAGCGTACCACGACCATTTCTTTCTGGGGCACTGCCTGCTGAGCCAAAGGCAGCCTCAGTGTCAAAGGCCTGCTCCGTCCTGCCCACGCTCCTCCGAGCACACACCAGTGCTGAAGTTGACACAGTTCTTGAAATAAACTCACCAGTTTTCACAGCTAACCATACTTCAGGCCAATTCAGTCTCCAGTGCAAGGCAGGGACTTCCATGCCTGGCACCTGCACAATGCGGCTGCGGGCAGACAAGTGGGGCACAAAGGGAAAGAGCCACAAAAGGGGCCAAAACTCTGCCTGGTCAGAGAGGATGATGCTTAGAGTCACCATGGGATGGAGGAGACTGGCATATCATGGCTAGAAAGAAAAGAGGAAAAATTGATGTGACATGCACACACACTACGTTCACGCCCAGGGTGCATGTGCGCGCGCACACACACACAAACAGAGTGGACACACGCATGGGGGTACAAACAGAATGTGCAGTGCACACCTGGAGCAGGTGCACCCCCTTACTCCAAAACACACCTCTTGAACACAGTGCAGTGTGCAGTGTTCACATACACACAGAGTGCATGTACATGCATACCTGGCTGCGCACGTATGCACACATGCACACACACACAAAGCATATACACACAAGCAGTGCATGCCCACCCTGCAGTATGCATGCATGCAGAATGCACCCACCCACACACCCCACATGCATGCACCAGCATGCACCCCCTTATCTGCCCACATGCACACTCTAGGCATACACCCAATGATGCATGCACACGTCGAATGAACCTCCCACGGGGGCACATGAAAACTCACTTGTCTATGCATGCACGCACACATGTCCACGCACGCATACACGTATGCAGGCATACACACGTACGTGCATGCATACACACTCACAGAGGGAAGTGTTGCACCCACACAAACACATAGCCTGTTATCACCCACATGCTCTGGAGCTGCTTGCATGGATGCAGGCTATCACACCCACTCCTGCCTGTTCCCTCCTGTGTTTGGCCCACACGTCTGTCAGTGTGTGCTTGCTTCCACAGCACTGCAGAAGTCGGGCCTGTCCCTCCACACCCAGCTGCACGGACACTGTTCATCTGCGTTCACTGGCACCTGTGCACGCTGGGGCAGTCACAGCATGCCTTGCTCAGTTTCCTGCAGACAAGTTACCTGCCCACCGTGCACATGGTCCCCACACGTCCTGCCCTGTTCCTTGTGTGGTCTCTGAAACTGTCCCTGTGCCGTGCCCGCTCCCACCCCAAGCTCAGAGCCCTAACTGTTCTCTCAGTGTCCTGACTGCCAGCCCCCAGCGCCCTGATCCCTGTGGCCAGGCACCACACAGCAAGCACTGCCATGCCCTACGAGCAAAGTGGGCTCCATGAATTATGCAGCAGTTTTGCCTCCTGCTGCAGCACCAGCCTCCTCACTCTGCCTCTTGGCCCTGAATAATTGATGGCAGTGAGCACAGCAGCAGCAGCAGCAGCCCCAGCATCCTTCTTGTGCCAAGGGCCAGGCCGTTAGGAGGCATGGGGCTAGACACGCAGGAAGGCCAGGGGCTACAGTGACAGTCTGAACAATGGAGAACAGGGAGCAGTGGAAAGCAGAGTTAGCTGACACATTAGAAAGTGGTTGTAAAAGTGGGATGGGTCTTAAGAAATGCTGACTAGTAACAACAAGAAAATCCAGAACAGACTGGTCACGCTGGCTGGACGTAAAACAGAGGTGTATCTACATGCGATCATCCCGACTAGGACATTAGGCATTCTCACCCCTGCTTTGTCTTTGGGCTGAAACTCCTCCCCTCTGCCTGCTGGGTGATTAATCCTAGACCACTGCTGCTGTGCCTGTGCCAGTACACCACCTCTGGTCTTGCTTTAATCTCATTTTGGATAAACTGAACAGATGGAGAGCTTGAGGACATTCAACTCCTTCCTGTGCCTGTTTTCCGAGTTCTCTCTGCTTTTCAAAAGCAAACACAGCAATGGGGTACAGCCTTCCCAGGGTGCAGAACCTTCCCTTTTCCTCCTCGTTCTCCTTATCATTCTCTTCCATCGGAGAACTGCTGTTGGTTGCTCTTTGCACTGTCCCTTCCTCACTTTGATTACAAGGCATTGATTTGCAGGATATGGGCTACCTGTGTTCAAGGCACAACCAGCAGTTTGTGAGCCTGAACGTGAAAGTCCGTCACTGCTGTATGAAAACAGAAACAAACTTTGCCCGGTGTTATAAATCGAGACTACAATGGGTCGAACTCCAATTGAAATTTTATTAATTATAGCAAGTAGAATATGAGCAAAACCAGCGCTGGACGACAGGGGAGTCTGTACTCCACCAACTGCCGTACTGAGGAGAACAAACTGTCCCTTTTTATACATTTTTTTTCCCGCGTTCATGGAGTGGTGAAGATACTATGTTTCAACTGTTGCTGGGGTCTAGAGTGGTGGAGATACTCTGCGCATGTGCTAGTTGTTGTTAGGGGGTCGTTTTCTGCCTTCTGGTGGTCGATGATATCCTTATATGGAGTTGTTTTTCTTCTGTTTGTTTTCTTGGGATATCTTGTGATCTGCAGCGTCGGCCATGTGTGCACAAGCAACACATAATTCCATGAACGATCTCCCCTCCTCTTATTATCTTTAAGTCTTAATAAACAATATACTTAACTCATAGTTTCTCACACCCGGAAAGTGCCCAGGCTCCCACAGGGCCCAGCCTCCTCCAAACGATGGCATGCTCTCTGTCCCAAGGGATTTCGCACCCTGTGCGCATCTGGAGAAAAGCAGCTGCATTTGCTCTCCCAGAAGGCGGGAAGCTGGAAGCAGTGGCCCGGGCAGTGACAGGGGATGTCCGCTCGGGCCACCCAGCCCCAGCGGAGAGGACGTCTGTTTGCTGCCACACGCCGGGGTGCCCGTCTGCTCCCAGGACAGCTTCACGGTGTCCCAGCCTCCGCCCCGGTGCGGCTGGCTGCAGGCCCGGCTGCCGGTGCCTGCAAGGCTTTTTCCCCCAGAGACCAGGGGCTGCGCACCCGGGCTGAGTCCGCAGCCCCCAACCCTGGGCACCACCGAGGGGGATTCTGAGGGAAGCCCCTGTAGCTGACCGCAGCACGAGGGGGCAGGCCCGGGTCCCATGGGGCCGGCGGCACCGGGCACGGCGGCGGCGAGGGACCGGCGGCGGCGCGGACTACAACTCCCGGCATGCCCCGCGGCGGGGGGCGGGTCGCGTGGCTGCCCGCGCCTGTCGGGCTCCGTCGGTGGCGGAGCTGCGGGCCCTGCCCGGCCGGTGCTGGGGCTGCGGGTTCCGCCGGGGTCTCGCATCGCTGCCGCCGCATCGCATCGCTGCCGCCGCATCGCATCGCTGCCGGGCTCGAACACGGACCCGTAGTAGCCCACGTAGTGGCCCTGTAGCCCATGCTGACCGCGCGTGTCGGCGGGGGCCTCGCCGGGCGGCAGCGCCATGGGGCCGTGGGGCCGGGGCCTGCCGTGGGCTCTGGTGCTGCTCGCCTTGCGCGGAGCGGCCGGCGCCCGCCCCAGCTTCGTCCTGTTGCTGGCGGATGACCTGGGCTTCGGAGACCTGGGCAGCTACGGGCATCCTTCTTCGGCCACGCCCAGCCTGGACCGGATGGCTTCCCGAGGGCTGCGGTTCACCGACTTCTACAGCAGCTCCCCGGTGTGCAGCCCGTCCCGGTACGTCCGCTGCTGCTCCTGCCGCTCTGCCTGGTGGCTGCTGCAGGGCCCCGCGGCAGGTTTGGAGGAAGCACGGCTCGGCACCCAGCTGGGGAGCTGCAGCACTGGGAGGAACGGGTGGTTGACAAACCTGCCGTGTGCCAGGAGGCCCCGGGGTCCAACTGCTCTGTGAGGGGACTGATGGAGCTTCCCAGCAGGCCGGGGAGGCGACAGTGGCAGCTGTGAGGCCGGCGAGCCAAGCTGCCAGGTGCCAGAGAACGGGGCACTCTCTGTGGAGGCTGAGCACCGCGACCTGCGCTGCACCCAGTGTGATGCCTGCCTTCTCTCCCTTTCACCTGTAGGGCAGCCCTGCTGACAGGCCGGTTCCAGATGCGCTCCGGGGTTTACCCTGGTGTGTTCAGCCCAGACTCACGGGGAGGCCTGCCGCTGTCTGAGGTCACCATTGCTGAAGTGCTGAAGGCTGAGGGCTATGCCACAGCCATGGTTGGCAAGTGGCACCTTGGCCTGGGGATTAACGGCTCCCTTCTGCCCATTCATCAGGGCTTTGACCACTTCTTGGGTGTGCCCTACTCTCATGACCAGGTGAGAGGCCTGTCAAGCCGCCAAGGGTGTCTTGGGGATGGCTGGGGGAGTGCCTGAAAGATGAAGCTTGCTTGAGAGCACACAGGCTCTCAAGTTCTTGCTGGAGCAGATGGGTGCGGGTGACTGATACAGGGCCAAGATAGGAACAGGGGATGTAAGGGTTAACATGAGAATAGCAAGAAGGGGATAATAGCAAGAAGGGGATAACAAAAGAAAATAGTTCAAGGGAAATAGTTTAGATAACGGTTAACAGTTCTGCTTAGTGAACAGACAGTTTGTAAAACACGGTGAGCTCTCTAGGCTTTATCAGTATTAAGCCGGTTGGAACTAGACCCGCGGTTTGGACAACAGCCAGTAAGAAACTGAGTCTGCGCAAAACCTGGGGTCACAGAGCGGACAGGAGGAAGAGGAGCTTGACTTCATCCCCAAAGACCCCCACGACCACCACCAGAAGACACTGCGCAGACTCAACTAGGAGGAGATTATGGAAATGCTAATTATAATACGAAGCGGGGATAGGTGTTGCATATGTATAGGCGTATTGCGAAATATTATGAATATGTAATCATTTGCTCTATAAATCTTAGGTAACAGCACCATACGTGGGGTACACAATAGGAGGAGTTATCCCCTGTGTACCTCAGCGCTGAATAAACATACCTACTTTACAATCTATCAGATTGTGGAGTCTATTTCCGCACGTCAGTTTTGGCGAGCCAGGCAGGAGACTCTCTGCTCGACTACGGGATCGACTGCGGGGCGGACTCTCCCAGGCGCGCCCCGAGCACTTTCCTCGGAGGAGCCTCCGCTACCAGCCGCTCACCGTGGGGGGGCAGACAAGGACTTCCTGAAGCCGCGGACCAAACGGTATGTTTAAGGATAGGAGCCTGTAAGTCGTACGCGTGGCTGGGGCAGCTGGTAAATCGTGCAGAGACGTCTGGCGTGCAGCTAAGCCGGGTAGGTGCACCGAAAAGGCGCGAATTCGTGCAGGTTAGGGGAGTCTAGGGGGCAATTATACTTTGCCACAGACCGATAGAGCGGTCGCTGGCTCCAATCGGGGACCTGTTGGCCGAGAGGGCGGCCACAGGCAAGAGTGATTGAAAAGGCCTTTGTTCTGTTGTGTTTTTTGGTTTTTTTTTGTTTTTTTTTTTTTTTACTCCTGATGAAAGTGTTGTAAGTGTGTGGACGTCCGTGAGATTGTGAGATTGTGAGTGAATGCTGTGTGGTGATTGTGTTAAGTGTGAGCGTTTGGAGTGAGTGTTTTACAAAAACAAGATGGGTAATACTCAGGGAGGGATATTAAAAAAGAGCCCTCTCGGCTGTATACTCGCCCATTGGCGGGATATTGCAGGGAGCGGAGGTACGGAAAGCAGAAAGACTCTTGTAAAATATTGCAATCAGTGGTGGCCGCTGTATAAGCTGGAGGATGGTGCTAAATGGCCGCTTAATGGAACACTGGACTATAACACTTTGTTACAACTTATGTTGTTTTTTAAGGAGAGAAGGAAAATGGGATGAGGTATCATATGCAGATATGTTTTTCACTTTGCGAAACCACCCAGAGTGGCAAAGGGACTGTGGGTTAGTACCCCCACAGGACCCTATGGTGCTCGCACTTGAACGAGAAAGTAAGGAAAGTAGGGGTAAGCTAAAGAGGTGTTGCTCATCATGTAGTATTGGACAGAGATGTACAAAGGTGGATAAGGTGGAAAACTTCAGAAGCTGCGCCCTACGGAAAGTGGGAAGGCTTCAATGAATGTAAAAATAGCAAATGTAACAGAGGACTGACGGGGACCTGGGGGATCTACCCTGGTGGATCCACTGGTTAAACTTAAGCTGGGGAGAGAACAAGAAGAAGTAGAACTTTTGGTAGACACAGGAGCAACGTACTCTGTTTTGAATCAAGCTTTAATACCACTGGGGGATGACTCTGTTATGGTAAAGGGAGCGACCGGCCAATCTGAAAAGGCGTATTTTTGTAAACCTTTAGAGTATAAATTGGGAAAGCAATGGGGAATTCATAAATTCCTTTATATGCCTAACTCCCCAAAAGCTCTCCTGGGGAGGGACTTGCTGGAACAACTGGAAGCAAAAATTGTCTTTGAAAAAAGGGGAAGTCACCTTGGAGGTAAAAGATCAGCAGTACATTCAAGTGCTGAGTCTCACTCTAACTAGTTCTTCGTCAGGAGGAGAAATTAGTGAGGAAATTTTAGACCAAGTATATCCGGGAGTTTGGGCTACCGATGTACCTGGAAGGGCGAAAAACGCTCTACCGATTGAGATCAAGATTAAGGAAGGTCAATGACCGGTGAGAATTAAACAGTATCCTTTAAAAAGGGAGGATAGGGAAGGAATCCGACCGGTAATAGAAAAATTTTTGCAATTAGGGTTACTAGAAGAGTGTGAGTCTGAGTTCAATACCCCTATACTGCCCGTTCGGAAACCTGATGGGTCGTATAGGGTGGTTCAGGACTTACGGGCTGTGAATAAAATAGTTGAAGATCTCCACCCAGTGGTAGCAAACCCATATACCCTGTTAACTGTATTAACACCAGAGTTGATTTGGTTTACTGTCTTAGATTTGAAGGACGCCTTCTTTTGCCTTCCTCTCCATAAAGCCAGCCAAAAGTTGTTTGCATTTGAGTGGGAAAATCCTAAAACTGGTCGAAAGACCCAACTCACCTGGACGGTGTTGCCACAAGGGTTCAAGAATAGCCCTACTCTTTTTGGCAACCAGCTTGCAAAGGACTTGGAATCCTGGGAAGCCCCATCCGAGAAAGGAAAATTATTGCAGTACGTGGACGACATTTTGATCGCTACTGAGACAGAAGAGGACTGTGCAACGTGGACGGTGAGCTTGTTAAATTTTTTGGGACTATGGGGGTATCGAGTCTCTAAGAAGAAAGCCCAGGTGATACAACGTAAAGTAAACTACCTGGGCTATGAGATCACTGCAGGGCAAAGAACTTTGGGACAGTCCCGTAAGGAGGCCATATGTCAAACCCCGAAACCTCAGACAGTAAAAGAATTAAGAACCTTCTTGGGAATGACAGGGTGGTGCAGGCTATGGATCTATAATTATGGACTGCTTGTTAAGCCCCTGTATGCGCTAACAAACACCGAACAGATGCACCTCGAATGGGATGAGGAGGCTGAGCGAGCCTTCGATTCACTGAAGAAGGTTTTGATGTCGGCCCCGGCTCTAGGACTTCCAGATGTGAGTAAACCGTTTCTTCTCTTTTTTCATGAGAAGCAGGGCATTGCCCTGGGAATACTGGCACAAGACCTAGGTCCATATCGACGAGCTGTCGCCTACCTCTCTAAACAACTAGATGCGACTGCAAAAGGGTGGCCTGGGTGTCTGCGAGCGGTGGCTGCCCTGATACTGAACATACAGGAAGCTCGGAAGTTCACTCTGGGCCAGAAAATGACTGTCTATGTGTCACATACAGTGCCGGCAGTCCTGGAAGCGAAGGGAGGGCATTGGCTCTCCCCACAAAGATTTCTGAGATACCAAGCTGCACTAGTAAAACAAGATGATGTACAGATAATAGTCACTAATATTATCAACCCAGCTTCTTTCCTCAGTGGTAACATGGGAGAACCAGTGCACCATGACTGCTTGGAAACAATTGAGGCGACATACTCAAGTCGCCCTGACCTAAAAGAAAGCCCCATGAAGGATGAAGAGAGCTGGTTCACAGACGGAAGCAGTTACGTCCTGAACAGTAATCGACATGCGGGGTATGCCGTTACCACCAGTCAAAAGGTAATAGAATCAGGACCTCTGCCTGCAAATACGTCTGCGCAAAAGGCAGAAATAATTGCTTTAACCCGAGCCCTGGAACTAGCTAAGGGTAAGATCATAAACATATACACGGACTCCAAGTATGCTTTTGGAGTTGTGCATGCACATGGAGCAATCTGGAAAGAAAGGGGACTATTGAACTCCCAAGGGAAAAACATTAAACATGCGGAAGAAATTTTGAAGCTATTGGAAGCTGTTCAACTTCCTGAGAAGGTGGCAATTATGCATATTAAAGCACACCAAAAGGTGAGCTCTGAATTGGAAAAAGGAAACGAGCTGGCGGATAGGGAGGCAAAACGGGCGGCCAAAATAGAGATAAAGACTGAAGGAGCACTTATTCCCGATAGGCAAATTTCCCTGGAAAGTAAACCAGAATATACCAGGGAGGATCAGAAACTTATTGCAGATCTGGAAGGGACATATAACAAGGAAGGGTGGGCTTATACCCCACAGGGGAAGTTAATTATCCCCTCTCATTTACTATGGCATTTCACACGAGAGGAGCATAGAAAGAGACACTGGGGAGCAGAAGCTTTGTATAGTCATTTGATAAAAGAGATTGTAGCCAGAAATTTGTATACCACGGTAAGGCAGGTGACTCGACAATGCGACATCTGCCTCCGGACTAATCCCAAAAACGCCCCCAAACTAGAAATGGGTCAGATTGGGAAGGGCAACGGGCCTGGGCAACAATGGCAAGTAGATTTTACAGAATTACCAAGAAAAGGGGGGTATCGATATTTGTTGGTACTGACTGATACCTTTTCAGGCTGGCCAGAAGCATTCCCTACTAGAACCGCTAAGGCTCGGGAAGTAACTAAAGTACTGATACAAGAAATAATACCACGATTTGGGGTTCCGGCAATCATATCCTCAGATAGAGGACCACACTTTGTCTCAAAAGTAGTACAACAAATTAGCCACCATTTGGGTATAGATTGGCAGCTTCACACCCCGTACCGCCCTCAGTCAAGCGGTCAAGTGGAAAAGATGAACCACTTAATCAAACAGCAAATTGTAAAATTGGGGCAAGAAGCAAACCTGACATGGCCTCAGTCCTTGCCCTTGGCCCTTTTACGCATACGGACAAGGCCAAGGGCAAGGGAAGGGCTGAGCCCCTTTGAAATTTTATATGGACAACCATACGGGGTACAAAAAGGAATATCCACACAAATTGGAGATGAAATTATGAGCTCCTACATGGTGGCGTTAGGGAAGCAACTCAATAAGATCAGAAAACATGTAATTGGTATTCGAGGTAGAGGGTTGGATGGACCCGTACATGATATACAACCTGGGGACTATGTATATGTTAAGTCTTTTACAGAAAAAAAAACCTTGGAGCCACGGTGGGAAGGGCCATTCCAGGTGCTGCTCACGACGTTCACAGCCATCAAGATTAAGGAATACTCGGCCTGGATACATCACACCCGAGTGAAGAAAGCCCATAAATCTCCATGGAAAGTTACCCAAGTTCGACCAGGAAGATTACGCTTCTCACGATAAGTCTGATAATCATTTTTCCTTTAATGTATAGTCAAAGGTTCAGTGAATGGCCATGGTCCCAGGCCCACATTGGGTATACTGGAAGTATGGGGATAGGCAGCACACACACGACTCTAAATTTGGCTACTACAGTTATACAGGGGATAAATGTAAACTCAAAAGAATCACACCTATCAAGGAGTACAACAATTGCAGGGAACATTGGGACAAGAAATTAAAATAGGATGCAGAGCAATTAATGAGTCTACTCACTGGGCAGCAAAACAGATCACAGTAAGAACACGTATGGAAACTGGGGAACCGGGCGCCCTTTTAGCAAACCAAGTCTGTGATACAACAAAATCAGATTGTTGGTATAACTCTACTCTTAACCAATCAATTTCCGTAGTATGTCTCTGGGTCAAGTGGCAGCCGATATTGGGATTATCCTTCAGATTTCATATAATAATAAACAACGCAACAACAACACCAACAACTGAGAAGACAACCAGCACAACAACAACAGCGCCAGACACAACTCAAACAACTCAACCCCAAACAAAACCAGGGCCTAAGATTTATGAAGTTGGCCCATATATGATTAGGAATGTGGGCCAACAACAATTATTATTTAACCCAGATTGGTCTCCTAAGCGTGTTGAATTGATAATACAGACTAATATCTCCGAAATCCAACCAGCCTGTCTTCCTTTCGTAGAAACATCTTTTAAGGGCTGGACGAGATGGACACAAAAACAAATGCACCTTGGAAGCAGAACAAAAAGAGATTTAACTGGAGTATTAGGAACGGGGTTGGGAGTCTTGAATAGAATCGATTCAGAAGTATTAATGAACAAGTTGGCCACTGCAACAAGTGATTTAACAAGGCTAAAGCAGCCTCCGCAGTCATCTTTGTTGGCATTGGGAACTAGTCAATGGCAAGTCTCAAAAATATTGCCAATATGGGAAAAGAATGAGGACCAAGATCACAGACTAATACTAGATGCACTTAATATGGCCCAGAATAATGTGTCTTTAGCTTTTAGTTGTATACAGGCACAGTTATGGCTGCAGGCAACCGCTGCCTTGATCATAAGGGAAGGGAATGAAGGAATTTTTCCAGTTGAAATCCGAAAGGCTGTTTGGGACGAAGCTACCAATTTTGAAAGAAGATTCCAATCTTGGTGGACTATGGTGAATTTTACCTATGACTCCACTACTAATATGGCTACTGCCTTTGTGCTCACCATACGTAATGCCACAGTTTATGTAATCCATTCCATCATCGCATTAGGGTTGAATCATGAGGATACAGTGCTCTATCCTTCAGAGCATAGAGCATGGGCCCGGAAGGAGAATGAGAAATGGCAGACTGTAAACGTGGAATCTTGTATTACTCGAGAACAACAGGGGTTCATCTGTGAAAGTAATACAATTGACACCAGAGACATATGCCTTGACACTGAGCAAAGTATCTGTCACTTCGAAATTCACCCAGATAATAGTAAGAAAACTGTGATTATATATGCTGGTCAAGGCTGTATATGTTTAAGAACCGCTTGTGTATTCGTAGAGATAGATCCTGACAATGTAACTTTGTTTACTGGGAATCATTCTAATTTCTGTATTTGTAACTTTGTTAAGATTACTGGGTGTGACTTTGTATATTAGGCACCAGTGGTTTCCCACCAGTTGATAAAATCTAAAATCATAAATTATCTCGAATTATCACCTACACCTATTGGAATGAACCTTACATTAGTAAGGCAACTGATTAAACATCAAGATTTGTTAGGGATCTTGAGAGAAATTCAGAGAAACGGAGAGAAAACTTTAGTTACTATACACCATGATACAAAAGAAATAAACAGGGTTTTGCAAAGAACAAAACAAGATGCAAGTCACAACTGGTGGGATACTCTTTTCGGCTGGTCGCCTTCTGCAACAGGGATTCTTAACATTATAATACACCCCATTGTGATTCTACTAGGTAGTTTAGGAATTTTATTAGTACTAACCATCATTTTGTATTTATGGGTCTGGAGAATGTTTAAAAGAATAACAGCGATGCATGAGGCTTTATATTATTTGGGGGATTGCTGAAGTAAAAGAATTTACTCAGTATAATAAGAAAAGGGGGGATTGATACAGGGCCAAGATAGGAACAGGGGATGTAAGGGTTAACATGAGAATAGCAAGAAGGGGATAATAGCAAGAAGGGGATAACAAAAGAAAATAGTTCAAGGGAAATAGTTTAGATAACGGTTAACAGTTCTGCTTAGTGAACAGACAGTTTGTAAAACACGGTGAGCTCTCTAGGCTTTATCAGTATTAAACCGGTTGGAACTAGACCCGCGGTTTGGACAACAGCCAGTAAGAAACTGAGTCTGCGCAAAACCTGGGGTCACAGAGCGGACAGGAGGAAGAGGAGCTTGACTTCATCCCCAAAGACCCCCACGACCACCACCAGAAGACACTGCGCAGACTCAACTAGGAGGAGATTATGGAAATGCTAATTATAATACGAAGCGGGGATAGGTGTTGCATATGTATAGGTGTATTGCGAAATATTATGAATATGTAATCATTTGCTCTATAAATCTTAGGTAACAGCACCATACGTGGGGTACACAATAGGAGGAGTTATCCCCTGTGTACCTCAGCGCTGAATAAACATACCTACTTTACAATCTATCAGATTGTGGAGTCTATTTCCGCACGTCATGACTGCAGGCCGGGGAGAGGGGTGCTGGTGGGGAAAGCCCATCTCTGAGATGCTTGGCTGATGGGGCAGTTTTGTACAACATAGGTGGTAGTTGCGTGAGGGTACATACACCCTTTGTCAAGGGAGGAAGGGTCAGCTTCTGGGCTACAAAGAAACATCTGAGTTGCTGTCAGGAGAAAATTATGTTGGGGCAGCATGGTCCTTGGACGATTCTAGGGTGGGCACAGACCCCTTTGCTTCTGGGAGTGGTTGCCCAAAGGGTGCCCGTGGGACCTGGTAGTGGGCCACTGTGAGACTCTTTGCTCCCTTCCCCTCACCGTCCTGCAACGTAGGTAGAAGACAAAGTGTCATTTGTTCTCTCCAGGGCCCTTGCCAGAATCTCACCTGCTTCCCACCTGACGTCAAGTGTTTTGGGACTTGTGACCAAGGCTTGGTGCCAGTCCCACTGCTCTGGAACCAGAGCATTGTGCAGCAGCCAGTCTCTTTCCCTGATCTGGTGCCACTCTACAACAAATTCTCCCGAGACTTCATCGCTGACTGTGCCCGACGAGGCCTCCCCTTCCTGCTCTACTATGCTTCCCACGTAGGAGAGGGAGAGGGCTGCTCTGGGCCCAAGGGTGGGGAAGGGAGCCTTTGTCCTGTGGGGAGAGCAGAGAAGCATCTCAGCTCCTGCAGCCCCAGGGCTGTGCTGAGCAGTCGATACCTGCTTTTGGATGATCTGGGGTTGCTGTTCCCATGCTCAGGTCTTGCATGGCTTTGATAATGTTCTTGGGCTGCTTCTTTCTGGAGTTTTGCCTGCTTCTTTGGGCCAGGAGCCCACCTGGGAAAACTTCCTGCTCTGGGGCTCCATGTCCTCTCCTGGGGCTCAGCTCCTTTGTGCCATTTCTGAGAGATGCTTCCAAAGCTTGGGGAGAAGCCTCCTCTCATCTCATGGCTATTGTCACATTTCTCTGTGTCCAGGCTGGGGTGCTTACTGTCCCCGGGTGAACTGGGAACCAGATGCAGCTCTAGGAGTTTGCACAGCCGTCTTCTCTACCCTTTCTCCAGCATACACACTACCCTCAATTTGCAAGCCAGGAGTATGCAGGGCAGTCATGGCGTGGGCCGTTTGGTGATGCGCTCTTGGAGTTTGACGGCTCAGTGGGACAGCTGCTGCAGACACTGCAGGAAAATGGTCTTGCAAACACGACCTTGGTGTTTTTCACCTCTGACAATGGGTGAGTAGGCTCAGCAGCAGGGATTTTGTCACTAATAAGATTCGGCTGCCATGGTATGGGGGAACTGGAATGAGGCATTGGTTGTCTGGAACAAAAGGGATGTGGTGTGGCATTGCCAGGTGAGACCCCGGTGACCTGAAGTAAGGCAAGAGGTGGGTGCTGCTCTGGAGAGGACCCAGTGCAGTCCTTGTTCCTGTGATTCAGCAATGCCCTTCCTTGTGGGCAGAAACTTCACAGGGTTCAGTCCAGGAGCGTGCAGCAGCCCAAATATACCCCGGTTCCCTTTGTGTGAGTGGCATTGGTCTGGTGCCCTGCTTAAGAGTCTCACACACCTTGGCTTCTTTACCTGCCCCGTGTCTCCTGCCTTATGAGGCTGAAAAGGATGGCGGTGTCACTAGCTGGCACCATGTCTCACTTGTCATGGCCCCATTGGCAGCATCAGGGAAGGGGTAGTGTGAGCCTGTGAAACCGAGGGTAGGTGGTTCTCTCTTGCAGCCCATCCACCTTGCGGATGGCACGTGGAGGCAGTTCTGGCCTTCTGAAGTGTGGGAAGGGCACAACATACGAAGGTGGCATGCGGGAACCAGCAGTGGCTTATTGGCCAGGCCATATCACTCCAGGTAAGACTTGGCACTGCTTGTGCCTTTTGCATGCTGATGCCAGCCAAGGCAGGGTGTCATGGCAGCTTGGCTGCCCAGGAACAAGCAGAGGACTGGAGAGAGGTGAGGACGGCGGGATTGAAGTGGGATCAGGTGCTTGAACCTTTTCTTGTGCCTTGCTGTGGTGGGTGACAGGAGTGACACATGAACTGGCAAGCACCCTGGACATCCTGCCAACACTGGCTACCCTGGCTGGAGCAGCTCTTCCCAAAGTTGCCCTGGATGGCTATGACCTGAGTCCAGTGCTGTTTGGGTCAGGGAAGGTGAGTCCTGCGGGCTGGTTCAGCTGGCATTGTGCATGAAAGCTGGGTGTGGGGCTGAAGCTGTGTGCCTGATGAGTACAACCAGCTGGGGGTCAGGGGAGATCCATGAGCTGGGACCTTTTGTCTGGCCTGGGTCATGCCATGGAATTCCTCGGCTTCCCCAGGCTGCTCTGCTCTGACAACTGCAACATATTGCTGGGCCAAACCCCCATGGGCGCAGTGGATGGACAGCCCCAGTAGCTTGGAGTAGGGAACAAACAGGATGCTGCTGCTCGTCAGCTTCCCCCCTCTCTGGCCATGTTCTTGCTGTAGTATCAGGGCTCCTGTGTGACTCCCTGGAGTCTCTGCCTGGTCATGTTCCAGACTTTTCTTCAGCCTCATGGCTGCACAGGTGAGCTTAGTTCTGCTACTTCCCGCAGAGTCCTCGGCAGACAATGTTCTTCTACCCGCCATCCCCTGATCCGCTGCACGGCCCCTTTGCTGTCAGGCTTGGGAAGTACAAGGCCCATTACTTCACACAAGGTTAGTGCTGCCTCCTCTTATCTACACAGTCGACTTTGTGAAGTCCCATATGGTTTTGCTGTCCAAACCTCAAAGAGAAGAAACTGGGCTATGCCTGGGGGTCTCTTTTGCAGGTTCCTTTCACAGCGATACGACCCCAGACCAGGCCTGCCACGGGCTGACCCCGCTGACCCCTCACTTGCCCCCGCTGCTCTTTGACTTGGAGTCAGACCCAGCTGAGAACTATGATCTGCTGCAGAGTGGCGCAGGGCCGGAGGTTCTGCAAGTCCTGAAGGAGATCAAACTGCGGAAAGTGCTTTTGGAGCAGCAAATGGGGTTTGGAGAAAGCCAGATCAGGAAGGGCAGGGATCCCGCCCTGCAGCCCTGCTGCGTACCAAACTGCACTCCTAAGCCTTCCTGCTGCTACTGCTCCTAGCTTCTTGCTGCTCCATCCCCTTCAGTTGTTCCACACTGGAACGCTATCCAGGACCCACCAAACACCCCCTCTGTCCCCAACTAACCAAGCTCAGCCTTAGAGCTACCCTGCAGCTTTGGCTCAGTGACACCTCTGTCTAATAGAGTGCTGGGGTAGCCAACTGTGGGTTGGGGAGATTACCAACCCTGCTAGGAGCGCAGGTCAGTGGATCCTATGCTCTGCGTTGGATGTCCAAGCTAAGGCCTCTTGACAGAAACCCTGACTTGTTCAGGGTGGGATCATGGTCCATCGTCATCTCCAGAGCCAGAACAACTCCTTTCAAACCACAATCAAGGTGAAGCAAAGGGCATGCCCCAGTGTTCAGAGCTCCCAGCTCAGCTGGAGACATGCTCTGCACCTCTGAGTAAGAACAGAGCTGGAAGCTGCAGCACCATCACTCGCCAGGGGCCAAGAACACAGCAAGAGGAGGATGGCATGGATGGTCCTGGCAGCTTCAGAGGCAGGACCTTGTGCAGCTAGTGCAGAATGGACATGCCTAGGTGGAAAGCAGCTTGGGGTATGTGTGCTTAAGTACCTCCAAGTCCTTCATGACTCCAGGAGGTGGAGATGTGGCCAGTGGTTGTCAGGATTGGTCCTCTTGTAAGGTCTGTGGATCTTGGGGCTGATCAATCAGGTGGGCGGCAACCACATGCCATCCACATGACTGAAAGGGTCTGTCTCCTCTTGCTTGTGAGCTAGTCCAGCTCCAAGTTTCCCAGTGACTTGCACATGCACACAGCGCTCCCACCAGTCGCTGGCCCTAGACACTGGGTGTTTCCAACTGGGGGGTCCCCCGACCTGTGTTCCCTCCTGCCATTGCTAGCAGCCAGGCCTCTGGGCCCACCCCACCCCGGGGACAGAGCGGAGCCGCACAGAGAAAGGTTTGGAATCACTCTCAACAAGAAGGTAGGACGGGTTGTGGTGCTTACGTGCAAGGCTCAGCCAAACAAGCAATCCAACTAGCAGCTTAGGGGTGACTGGCTCCTTGATCCCCCTTTCTCTCCATTTTCCATGCTTTTATATCCCACTCACCTGCCTTGAGTGCTCCCTTTCTCCACCCTTGTGTCCTCCCAAATGAGGGACCTACCTGTGATTGTTTTTTCCCCCTTGCTCCCAGGTTAGCTAGGCTTGTGAACAGATTTGGTGTTCCAGGTGACATTAGTTAGATCACCTTGGACTTCTGTGGCATTACTGATGTGGTTTCCTGGCTACTGCTGTCCCTGCCAGACTCCTCTCCCCAAAATGACCCCAACCATTCCTTCATGTATCTGTGAAGTGTGGCCACCTCTCACATAATTCTCCTTTAACCACGTCCAAAATCTGGTGCTGGAATAGCAGAGTATCCACAGAAGACAAGCCTTCTCTAAGGCCTTCTTCTGCCTGCTCTAAGCAGATATGGGGCACCACCTTCAGGTCAATTTTCAAAAAACAAATCAGCCTTGAGTTCAGTTTGAGGCCCAGTCCTGCTGCCTGTAGGGCCTTGATAGCAGCTATTCCATTTTCAGACAGAGCCTGGCCTGCCATCCTAAGGACCAGGTTGTGCACTCAGTTGTGTGCCTTACATATATCCACACAAGCCAGGACGGCAGCAGGAAGCTCCTGCACTTTTCACAAGCGTTGAGGCTGCCGTTCTTCAAGCTACCACCTCCAGGAACCTAGCCCCACTCAGCAAAGGCAGCGCACGTGGCTGGCTCCTGCTTTTCTCCCATGACTGCCCTGTGCTCCATCAGGTGAGCAAGGCTCCACCATCTGCTGTGGAAGGGAGCCTGATGAGATTAGGCTGATACAGGATTTACCAAAGTCACGGAGAATGGCATGTGGAGAGTGGAGCTGAATGGAGAGTGAGGATGAAAGCAGGAGCATCCTTCTTTTCTAGAGCTTGAAATTGCAAGACCTTGGCCACGCATACCGGGTGCCACAACTGCCCTTGTCTACCTTGTCCCAGAGCAGCAACAGAACTCATAGACAGCAAGGACATGAAGCCTGTCAGTGGATGTTGCTATGGCTGACACAGCCAGTGTGGACTGTCCCGCATCTGCGTTTCACTGTGCTGTGTGCACGAAGGTTGACGTTGCTTGGGTCTGCTTGGCTTATTTGCCTTGCACATCACTGCTTGCCTGCAGCGGCTGTAACCAGATTGGCTCTACAACACCCAAACTTGTGCATACTGCCTGCGGTAGTTGTGTTCTCTGGTGTCTGTTTTTGGGAAGGACCTGGTGGCAAAAGGCTGCAGAGAGCGGGGTGGCAGTGAATGAACTTCCCAAAGAGGCTGTGATGCCACACTTGTTTTTTTCCTGCTAGCCATGAGCAGGCAGTGCTTGGAGCCAGGCGCTGCTGCCTGCCACGGGGCCTACACACCCTCATCCCGCAGGCAGAGCAGTGGGTGGGGGTCTGCCGGGGGCGTCCGATCCCGGCTTCTGCCTCCCCTCCTGCTTCGAACCTGCCCCGTCCCCCCCGTCCCCGTCCCCGTCCCCCCCCAAGGGGCCACCGTGCCTAGCACCCGGAACCAGTGACTCTGTGACATCAGCCCTGTTGCTGAGGGCACCGCGGGCAACGTGAGTGCTGCGGGCACTGTGTCGGCTGCTGCGCCACTGGCAACGAGCCCTCGGTTCCTACAGCCCGCACGTGCTGCTGGTAGCGATGCGCTTGCTCCCCCTCCTCGTCCTGCTGGCCGTGTGCTGGCCTGCGCGTGGCACATGGGACAACTGTGGGTAAGTGGCCCGAGGCTCTGGGAGGGAGCTGGGGCAACCCTTGTGGGCTTCACTGGAGGGTGCCTGCTTGTCCCCCGTGGCCACACCACAGCTTCCCGAACCCCACGTGGAAGCCTCGGTTCCTTGCAGCACTCAGGCTGCTGGCCCAGCTCGTCTACGGGGCTAAGGCAGGAACGGGCCAACGTCCGCACGCCGCACGGGCTTCCCTGGCCCTGCTGTCCGTGCAACACCTGTGGGGAGGGAGGATGGCTGAGCTTCAGCCTGAACAGCAGCGAGTCATCGAACAGGACGGTAACGAGTTTCTGGTTACAGAGGGACCTGCGGGCTCCGGCCCATGGCTTCTTACTACGGCATGTCGCGTGTCGTGGGTGGCACAAGCTCCCACCCAGGGGCCTGGCCCTGGATCGTCAGCATCCAGAATCCCTGGCTAGCAGGTGTGGGGCATATATGCGGAGGGTCCCTCATCAGCCCACAGTGGGTTCTCACAGCAGCCCACTGCTTCGTCGAGGCCAGGTAAGGAGGACCAGGGAACGGGGATATCCCCACAGCACTCACAGGTGCCCTGTCCGCAGCACCACCTGCTACTCCCATCCCGTTTCCAGCACTGCAGAGCCCGGCTGAGAGACTGTTCAGGAGGAGGCTGCGCTGCTGCCACTGCTTCCTCGCAGCCTCCGGCTCGACATGCCTCGAGCTGAAGGCATGCTAGGGCAGTCGCACCTTCTGTAGCGCTGCTTTTCTCTCTCCCCTGTGAAGCAGAACGCAGGGAACTGCTGGGCTGCTGCAGCACATGTCTCTGCTCCCTTTAAGCCCTCTCTCCATCTGCCTTCCAGGGACATCAGGACGTGGCGTGTGGTGGTCGGGACCACCTACTTGACTCAGCTGGGCCCTGAGTCCCAAGTGCGCGGTATTAGGCGGCTGGTGGCTCACCAACGCTATAGTAGTATCTCGCAGAGGAACGACATTGCGTTGCTGGAATTGGACCAGCCTGTACAGTGTGGCTACTATGTACAGCTTGCCTGTGTGCCCAACGCCTGGCTGAAAGTGTCAGAGCTGACAGACTGCTACGTCAGTGGCTGGGGTTCCACACATGCAAAATGTAAGTTCCTGCAGAATCCTTGTGTCCCAAGTGCAAGCTCGGCACACCGGGGAGGCGGGCTGGGCTTCCTCACAGCAGAGGCAAAAGCCAGAGTCGGCATGTAGGGACGTATGCCTGTAGAGAGATGGGCCTGGCCCACTACCCAAAGCCAGACAGAAGGGAAACACCGGTACAGTGCCTCTCACGACACAAAGCCGAGCCCTAGGGAAGGGGTTCACCCAGGCAGGGAAGGAGAACTGGCAACAACCTCCTGAGTGTTACCTCCTTTCTGTGCTCACAGCTGGAGGATCAACTGCTGTCCTGCAGGAAGCCAGGGTCCCCCTCATTGATGTCAACCTCTGTAACAGCAGCCAGTGGTACAGAGGAGCCGTCCACACCCACAACCTGTGTGCTGGCTACCCGCAGGGCGGCATTGACACCTGCCAGGTAGGCTCACCTCCCCTTCCCTCTCTGCAGGTTCTCGCCCAGTGCCCCATCTGTCTCAGAGGCCGGGGACTCTGCCCAGAAAGCCCATCCGGTGCTGCTGGCAGCCCGTAGGCCCAGATCCCAATCCTGGAACATCCCCCTTCCACACATCCAGCATCACAGTGCAGAGAGGAGAGAGAGCACACCCTGCCTTACAGGCCTGTGGCTTCTTCCTAGAAAAGTTTCTGTAGGCTCCAGCAGCTGCAGAGCCTTTCTGTGCAGTGAATACAGCGCTGGCAGGTGCTGTGGGAGAGAAGCAGCCAGCCCTAGTGCTGACAGTGGCCACCTAACACCCCCTTCATCCTCTCTCCTCCGCTGCAGGGTGACAGCGGTGGTCCTCTCGTCTGCAAAGATAAAAATGCTGACTACTTCTGGCTTGTTGGAGTGACCAGCTGGGGGAAAGGCTGTGCGAGAGCAAAACGGCCTGGAATCTACACCTCCACTCAGCACTTCTACGACTGGATCCTGACACAGATGGGATTTCGCTCAGCAGCAAGGGCTTCTCCAACATCAGGGGCATGGAGTCATTTTCTCACTGCCTCAACCCCTTATCAGAGGCCAACACCAACACAATCGGGCAAGTTTAGCTCCTGCCCCTTTCCCCTTGGGAAGCTGGTGGAATTCTTTTCTCGGGCGCAGGAGCTCCTGCTGTTCCTAAAGGAAAAAAAGGCTTGAGCAACAGGATGAAGAGGATCCAGTGCAGGCTTGCAGCGTACCACGACCATTTCTTTCTGGGGCACTGCCTGCTGAGCCAAAGGCAGCCTCAGTGTCAAAGGCCTGCTCCGTCCTGCCCACGCTCCTCCGAGCACACACCAGTGCTGAAGTTGACACAGTTCTTGAAATAAACTCACCAGTTTTCACAGCTAACCATACTTCAGGCCAATTCAGTCTCCAGTGCAAGGCAGGGACTTCCATGCCTGGCACCTGCAAAATGCGGCTGCGGGCAGACAAGTGGGGCACAAAGGGAAAGAGCCACAAAAGGGGCCAAAACTCTGCCTGGTCAGAGAGGATGATGCTTAGAGTCACCAGTGGGATGGAGGAGACTGGCATATCATGGCTAGAAAGAAAAGAGGAAAAATTGACGTGACATGCAGAAACTTTCGGGTATGCATTAAGGCACACAAGCTGATGATCTGGGCCTGGCATAAACCATAGCTAACTGAACATATCACGGGATAATTCTGAGCATAACAAGAGAAATTACCGACATAAGATTCGGCTGCCATGGTATGGGGGAACTGGAATGAGGCATTGGTTGTCTGGAACAAAAGGGATGTGGTGTGGCATTGCCAGGTGAGACCCCGGTGACCTGAAGTAAGGCAAGAGGTGGGTGCTGCTCTGGAGAGGACCCAGTGCAGTCCTTGTTCCTGTGATTCAGCAATGCCCTTCCTTGTGGGCAGAAACTTCACAGGGTTCAGTCCAGGAGCGTGCAGCAGCCCAAATATACCCCGGTTCCCTTTGTGTGAGTGGCATTGGTCTGGTGCCCTGCTTAAGAGTCTCACACACCTTGGCTTCTTTACCTGCCCCGTGTCTCCTGCCTTATGAGGCTGAAAAGGATGGCGGTGTCACTAGCTGGCACCATGTCTCACTTGTCATGGCCCCATTGGCAGCATCAGGGAAGGGGTAGTGTGAGCCTGTGAAACCGAGGGTAGGTGGTTCTCTCTTGCAGCCCATCCACCTTGCGGATGGCACGTGGAGGCAGTTCTGGCCTTCTGAAGTGTGGGAAGGGCACAACATACGAAGGTGGCATGCGGGAACCAGCAGTGGCTTATTGGCCAGGCCATATCACTCCAGGTAAGACTTGGCACTGCTTGTGCCTTTTGCATGCTGATGCCAGCCAAGGCAGGGTGTCATGGCAGCTTGGCTGCCCAGGAACAAGCAGAGGACTGGAGAGAGGTGAGGACGGCGGGATTGAAGTGGGATCAGGTGCTTGAACCTTTTCTTGTGCCTTGCTGTGGTGGGTGACAGGAGTGACACATGAACTGGCAAGCACCCTGGACATCCTGCCAACACTGGCTACCCTGGCTGGAGCAGCTCTTCCCAAAGTTGCCCTGGATGGCTATGACCTGAGTCCAGTGCTGTTTGGGTCAGGGAAGGTGAGTCCTGCGGGCTGGTTCAGCTGGCATTGTGCATGAAAGCTGGGTGTGGGGCTGAAGCTGTGTGCCTGATGAGTACAACCAGCTGGGGGTCAGGGGAGATCCATGAGCTGGGACCTTTTGTCTGGCCTGGGTCATGCCATGGAATTCCTCGGCTTCCCCAGGCTGCTCTGCTCTGACAACTGCAACATATTGCTGGGCCAAACCCCCATGGGCGCAGTGGATGGACAGCCCCAGTAGCTTGGAGTAGGGAACAAACAGGATGCTGCTGCTCGTCAGCTTCCCCCCTCTCTGGCCATGTTCTTGCTGTAGTATCAGGGCTCCTGTGTGACTCCCTGGAGTCTCTGCCTGGTCATGTTCCAGACTTTTCTTCAGCCTCATGGCTGCACAGGTGAGCTTAGTTCTGCTACTTCCCGCAGAGTCCTCGGCAGACAATGTTCTTCTACCCGCCATCCCCTGATCCGCTGCACGGCCCCTTTGCTGTCAGGCTTGGGAAGTACAAGGCCCATTACTTCACACAAGGTTAGTGCTGCCTCCTCTTATCTACACAGTCGACTTTGTGAAGTCCCATATGGTTTTGCTGTCCAAACCTCAAAGAGAAGAAACTGGGCTATGCCTGGGGGTCTCTTTTGCAGGTTCCTTTCACAGCGATACGACCCCAGACCAGGCCTGCCACGGGCTGACCCCGCTGACCCCTCACTTGCCCCCGCTGCTCTTTGACTTGGAGTCAGACCCAGCTGAGAACTATGATCTGCTGCAGAGTGGCGCAGGGCCGGAGGTTCTGCAAGTCCTGAAGGAGATCAAACTGCGG